AGAGAGAGAGAGAGAGAGAGAGAGAGAGAGAGAGAGAGAGAGAGAGAGAGAGAGAGACAGAGACAGAGAGATGACTTTCTTCACCGTTTGACAACAGTTCCGAAGTTGTTGCTAGGCGGAAGTGCCTGGTCACTCGTTGTCTTCGTTCACCTTCCCGCACTGCGCAGGCGTGATTGCTCGCTGCGCTGAGACCTTCGCGTCCCTTCACATCGCCAAGAGATCGTGGCAATGTCAAGGCGCGGCGCCGGGATACCGTGCGTTGCGCTTGCACTGTGATAGTGATACAGACTGTGGGCCTCGCTGTACTACTCTTGAAATGCACAAAAGACAAATCATTGCCGTGTATCTTTCCATATTCTAGCGGAATATTCACTCTCGTTTTGCACATTTCGAGAGTAGTGCAGCGACGCCCTGTGATAGTGATACAGACAAGTACCACGGACGACCCTCTCTGCACTACATGGCGGTGTATCTTTCCATATTCTAGCGGAAGATTCACTCTCGTTTTGCACATTTCGAGAGTAGTGCAGCGAGGCCCAAGCACAAGGACGCTTTTGCCGAAAAGTGCAGGCCCAGCCACAAGGACGCTTTTGCCGAAAAGTGACACAAGGAAAACATGCACAAGAACTCTAGTGCCCCTCACTTCTTTTCAGGGTCTGCTTCCACCGCAGGACCGGTCCTTCCTTTTTCCAAAAGTCCCGGTTCTAGAAGAGCTAGCTGTAGGTAGTCCGCAATTTTGGCAAGGACCGGTCCCCCCAATTTTTTTGCCCCTTAAGAACCCACTTTCCGTCCCGGTCGCCCGCCGTCGAAAATGCGACACCTTGACACAGACGCGGAAGCACACTATACCGCAGCCTTAGGGCTGCGAATTGTTTCGGACTTCTCCGTGATTACAATAATTATTACAAGCGGACCCGCTGCGCATGGCGGGCAGTCGCACATGGCAAGACAATGCACGGAAGTGTTTTATGTCCTCTCTCTCTCTCTCTCTCTCTCTCTCTCTCTCTCTCTCTCTCTCTCTCTCTCTAATGTGGCAATGCCTGACTGATGGATCATGCTAAAAATTCTCTCTCTCTCTCTCTCTCTCTCTCTCTCTCTCTCTCTCTCTCTCTCTCTCTCTCTCTCTCTCTCTCTCTCTAATGTGGCAATGCCTGACTGATGGATCGTGCTAAAAATTCTCTCTCTCTCTCTCTCTCTCATGTGGCAATGCCTTATTGATGGATCGCGCTGAAGATGAACGTCATGAGTGATCATGAATAGTGGCACAACATGTTGGGCCAGGGAGTTGAGATTGATTGGTGTTTTGATTCATCGAAGATTGATTCACTGATTAACCGATCGATCGATTGATTGATTGACTAATTGATTGATTGATTGATATAATTGTTGAGGAAGTTGAGATTGACTGGTTGATTCATTGATTCATTGACTAACAGATTGATTGATTGATTGATTGATTGGTTGACTAATTGATTGATTCATTAACTGACTAATTGATTGATTGATTGATCACCAAGGTCAGCACGATCCACCTGACCTCTCTCTCTCTCTCTCTCTCTCTCTCTCTCTCTCACACACACACACACACACACATTGATTAGACGACAGGCTTTAGGGTCGATGACAGCTTACTTCACCATCCCCGTGACAAATTGTCCAAGGGCATCCTCGTAATGACACGTCATCCACTCACATCCCGTTGACACACATCACTCAATCGCCCATCTCTTTCAATTACGCCATACCAGTGCAACGTGGCCTTCCGAGCGATAAGTCTCCAAGCCATGCGAGGCGTCTCGAAGCGACAGGCGTTATTACGGGAAAGCAAAGATCGATGCGGGCAAAAAGAGGAATAAAGAAAGTATTAGCGCGAAGGGAAAACACCATGAAGCGCAACAAGACAAACAGATGACGGATCAATCAGAGGTATGCCACAGTCGATCTGTTCTTGCACCGGACGGGCGATTAAAAGCAAAACAGCAAATTAAAAAAAAAAAAAAAAAAAAAAAAAGATTCCCAACTAGACGAACTAGTGTGATAAGGCACGCAGAATCAAGGATAGATGGAAACGAAAGGAAAAAGCAGGGCACTCGGACTTTATACTTCTGGATGTACTTGCGGTCAGATACATTCAGATCGGGCTGTGAACGTGGTCAGATACATTTGCGACAGTGCTAGTGTGAGTAGTCCAGTAAACTAAGCGGACAGGTGGAATGGAAGGACAAGTGGAAATGAGAGTGAGTTTCATTCCAAAGGAGTGCAGTATACCTTTCTCGGCCTTTTGGCTAAGATCAAGTGTAGTATCTGTTCTGATCAGTTTAATATCTGATCCGTGGTCCATCGGGCCACATTTAGAAAAAAAAAAAAAGAAGAAGTGCAGTGACATCACAGCAGATCAAAATAAACGCAGAAGGAAACAACCGCAGCGATCGCAGAAATTCCAAGAAGCACTCCATATGATAGGAGAAGAGGAAGCGGGGACGGGGCAAGGAAGGGTAAAAAAGACTGCGTACAGTACATAACCCCACCCAACACACACACAGAATCCACCAGAAAGGGGAGAGGACAGGGAGAATCCACCACCAGCAGAGTACGATCCGCGAGCATTGGATAGGGAAACAAGAAGGGGGGGGAGAAGGGGGGGAAGAAGGTTAAAAAAAAACAGTGCCTAACCCCACCGAACACACACAGAATCCACCAGAGTACGACCCATGTGCATGGCCCCTAACCTGCACCCTCCCACAGAGAAAGAGAGAGAGGGAGAGGGTTCCAAAGACAGGCGAATGAAAAGGAAACGAGAAGGAGATTAAGGAAAGAACGACGAATTCGAGACAGCAGAAAAGAAGGACAACCTTCTACTTCTTATTTGCAAACGATCTGCCAAGTCGTCGCAAACAATCTGCCAAACGATCCTACCTACTTTCTAGACTTCTCTTTTCCCACCAGGTAATGTGCGATGACAACCATCTGCAATTCTGTCAGAACGAGACCTCAAAAGGACGAAAAAAGTCGGGTCGGGATGGGTCCAATGCGATCAATTAAAGGAGGGAGAAACAAGATCTCTTCTGTAGCAGATGATGGAGAAACAAGATCTCTTCTGTAGCAGATGATGTATGTACACGCTAATGTATGTATCTACAAATACAGCAGATGAGTCGTCAAACCTCGATGATAAGTGGAGACGTCCACTCCAAAAAACGAAAATGAAAACAAAAAATAGATAAAACAAGAGGGGGGAAATGAGGGGAAAAAGAGGGAAAAAGAGAGGGAAAAAAAAAGGATAAAAAAGAGAGAAAGAAAAAAGAGGGAAAAAAAACGGAGAAATAAAGGGAAAAAAAAAAGGAGGGAGGCAGGTGACCGGCGTTTTTTTTTTTTTTTGGGGGGGGGRGAGGGAAGCGGAGGGKACTAATAGKSAAAACAGTGGCCATGATGAGGTAGGCAGCATGATGGTAATGGTATGTAGTCCTCGCAGCCTTACTTCGTGATTGTCGAAATTTTTCTTCGTATCGATCAGTCTGAGCAGGAGGGAGACAGCAAAGAGGTCTACGACGGGGGGCGAAGCAAGCGGTGGTGAAGCGCAGAAGACCGCGGGACAAGTGCTTGTCCTTAGCAGCCACTCCTCTGAGACGAGGACGAGAGAAGAAGATGACGGCGATGGCGGAGCGCACGGGGAGATCGGTAACGACGGTGCTGCAGGCGATGGTGGGCATGAGCTTGCTGAAAGAAAAAAGAGGGAAAAAAAACGGAGAAATAAGGGAAAAAAAAAAGGAGGGAGGCAGGTGACCGGCGTTTTTTTTTTTTTTTGGGGGGGGGAGAGGGAAGCGGAGGGGACTAATAGGGAAAACAGTGGCCATGATGAGGTAGGCAGCATGATGGGAGCTGTCTCTTATACACATCTAGATGTGTATAAGAGACAGGCAAAGAGGTCTACGACGGGGGGCGAAGCAAGCGGTGGTGAAGCGCAGAAGACCGCGGGACAAGTGCTTGTCCTTAGCAGCCACTCCTCTGAGACGAGGACGAGAGAAGAAGATGACGGCGATGGCGGAGCGCACGGGGAGATCGGTAACGACGGTGCTGCAGGCGATGGTGGGCATGAGCTTGCTGACGCTTTTAATGCTGAGCGCGGATGTCGATGCACAGAGTCCCAGGATCTCGTCGTTTAAGTATAACGGCAACGGGTGTCCCAGCGGTTCCGCTGTCGGCGAGATCAGCGTGGACGGCCTGGTGATCACCATGAAGTACTGCGCTTTCAGCGCTACCAGGTGATCACCATGAAGTACTGCGCTTTCAGCGCTACCACGGACCAGGGCGTGTCCGGAATGCGCAAGTCCTGCCAGTTGAATATTGCGATGGCTTCACCGGGCTACTCGTTCTCGTTGGAGATGGTCACGCTTCGCGGGTACACTTTCCTCGACGATAAGGTGAATGCGACTCACAAGGTGAGCTTCTATCTCACAGGCGAGCTTGGGACGGGGAGTTTCTCTGGTTCCACCACTGGCCCCTTCGATGACAACTACCAGCACTCCGGTCCCGTCAATCCCAAGTCCCAAGTCCCAAGATTTGGAGGCCTTGCAAGGTCAGGCAGGAGGAATCTCAACGTCAGGGCGGAGGTTCGAGTCGACAACAGCGCCAATCGCAGTGGAGTAGGTTTCATCGACGTGGATAGATACCAAGGACGGCGGCCTCGCGTTCAGGCTGAAGTGGAGTGGACAACGTGCAAATGAGTGGGCTGCAGAGCCTCCCTCTTGCGAGCACGCTGGCGATTGCAGCGCGTCGCAAGGCGGGGGGGGGGAGGGGAAGAGGGAGGGGGAACGGACTGGGGAGCTGATCTTGTCAGGGGCGCTTTTCCTATTCGTTCTAGGGGTAATTTGTCTGATTTTATGCCATAGTCGCACTGCGGTAGGTCTTTTGCGACTGAGATACGGACGTGATTGCGGTGAGATGCACCGAGATCTGACCGTGATTGCGGTCGGATTCATTTACAAAAGTGCGCGTGCTGGTATGAGCTCAGTTTAGATTGCGTCTTTGGCTGTGAATACGGTCAGATTCGTGCAGGAGAGTCCGAACGTGAGCGAGGGCTTAATCCGGCCAGGTGCACGGCCTTCCGCTTCAGTAGAGCGTGAGGGCCAGTGCGTGCCCGAATCGCGCATGAAAAGCACTCTCGATTTCGAGTAGATGACCGGGCGTTCTACTCGGGAAAAGGAGGTACCGCGTAGGATTTGTGATGGGCAGTTGATTCCGGTTATTTTGGCAGAGCTACAGCCTTTGGTGTTCGTCAATATGTGAATGAATGGTGTAGATCAGGCTCAGCTATGGGGTCCGATCTTTAAGTAAGCTATTATATGGGGTAGATCTAAGCAATGGCGTTTTAGGGCAAGGGGACACGACGAAGGACGAAGTCAGCCTGGTGGCAACCGTCGTAAACTAGCAATAAATGGACAAATATATTGAAAAGAAATAAGAGGTTTGTGACAGCCTAGATACTAGAATGAGTTCATACTCACACGAGGACCTTTTCCACTAGGCTCTGGACGTTATTGTTGTCCAATTCGTCCAGGTCTGCTCATAATTGCGGTCCGATACATGGAGGAAAGTACTAGTGTGAGTAAGCCATGACATGAGATGGTTGACGATGGAGCAATTGTGGTTCTGTGTTAGGGCACACGATGAAGAATAGCCTGACGGAGAGGTCGGAGGCTCGAAACCGTATGAAACTGGTAAAATTCAATCCTACCCCTTAAGCGCGGTGGGCCCGCGGGGGGGAGGTCGTGTTCCGCTGCGCGCTGGAATCGGCCCGAAGTTTTGATTCGGGCCGACGGATGAAGGCGATCGAGGGAGGGGTGTTGTGCAGAGTGGCGCGCGTACCGAAGTGTTCACAGCGTGCCACTAAACGAGAGAGCGCGCCCACGGGGCCGGGTACACGCCGTCGGATATCAAGAAAGTGTCGTTTCGTGCCCCGGCCCCTTTCTTTTTTTTTTTTCTTTTTTTTTTTGTATTCTTTTTTTTTTTTTTTTTTTTTTTTTTTTTTTTTTTTTTTTTTTTTTTTCTTTCTTTTCTTTTTATTATATTCGTTCTGTTTTCGACAAAACAAGAAAAACTTTGTATTTTCTTAGTTTTTTGTTAATTTTTATATTTTTTCACTTTTTTTTTTTTTTTTTTTTTTTTTGGACTACCGAATTGTTCGCTGTGCGCCAGAAAAGGAGAGGGCGTAGCCACGGGGCCGAGCGGCGGTGGGTGTAGATGCGAGGGATTATTTCGAAGTGCCCGCCGGGCGGGAAAACGCATTGTGTTTTCTCGATTTATGCGTGTCATCCTTGCGCAGGGGCCATGCTAATCTTCTC